CCGCCGATGATGAAATGAAATGTATAAAGTCATTGAAAGTGGGGACTTGACTTGCATTCGGAGCTGACCATTCTCAGCCTCACTCACATACAGCTGCACCGTACGTGGTGTGGTACTCCCACCGCCGTATACCTCTTCCTCATCAACCATGGCCGCCGGGCCACTGCCACCGGAGGAGCTGGACCTGGACTTTCTCCTCCATCCCGACCCGCCCTCCCCCTCCGTCTTCCTCGACCTCCCGCCCACGCCTCCGCCCAGCTACTTGGACGACGACGACATGGTGCTCCCCTACATCTCGCACTTGCTCATGGAGGAGGAGGACGCCCACGCCGACAGCTTCTTCTACCAGTACCCCGACCACCCCGCGCTGCTCCACGCCCAGCAGCCATTCGCCGACATCCTAGCCGACGCTGCTGCTGCCTGCAGCACCAGCTCCACCGCCACCGCCACCACAACCTCGCCATCCTCCTTCACCTCCATCGACGCTCCTCAGGATCAGGGGCAGGGCACCTCTGACTCTGACCACTCGCCCAACACCAACGGGAGGGATGCAAATGCAGACATGGCCACCTCCGCTTTCCTCAAGGGCATGGAGGAAGCCACCAAACTCTTGCCATCCAACACCACCACTCTGCTCCTCCACGACGCCAGGGGCCGCAAGAACAGGCACGCTGCTGCCACGGACGACGACGGCGACCCAGAGTTGCGCAGGGCCACCAAGCTCATGCTGCCGGCCGAGACGGCAGACGAAGCCGACGCCCGCCGGATGTTCGACGAACTGATGATCCACGAGCGCGACGACATCTGCATCAACATGAAGGGCGTGCAGCAGCAGCAGGGCCAGGGCCTGCTGGCCACCTCCACGGACGACACTGACAGCACCCAGAAGCCCACGCGGCGGCGGAGGCGCCGGGGCTCGGCTGCCGGCGACGGCCCGGTGGACCTGCACGCGCTGCTGCTCCGGTGCGCGCAGGCCGTGTCCACGGACGACCGTGCGGCCGCGCAGGACCTCCTGGCGCACATCCGACGCCACTCCTCACCGACTGGCGACGCCGCGCAGAGGCTGGCGCACTGCTTCGCCGAGGGCCTGGAGGCGCGCCTGGCCGGCACGGGCAGCCGCCTGTACCGCTCGCTCATGCTCCGCCGCACCTCCGTCGCCGACTTCCTCAGGGCCTACCGCCTCTACATGGCCGCCTGCTGCTGCAAGAAGGTGGCGTTCACCTTCTCCAACAAGACCATCCACGACGCCATTGCCGGCGGCGCCAGGCGCCGGTTGCACATCGTCGACTACGGCCTCGGCTACGGGTTTCAGTGGCCCGGACTTCTGCGCGGCATCGCCGCGAGGGACGGCGGACCTCCGGAGCTGGTCAGGATCACCGGCATTGACCTGCCGCAGCCTGGCTTCCGCCCGGCGCACCAGATCGAGGACACCGGCCGCCGCCTCAGCGATTGCGCGCGCCAGCTCGGCGTCCCGTTCGAGTTCCGAGGGATCGCGGCGAAGAGAGAGGACGTTTCTCCCGAGGACCTGGACATCGACCCAGCTGCCGAGGTGCTCGTTGTGATCAGCCTCTGCCATTTCAGGCTTCTGACGGACGAGATCGAGATCAGCGTCGCCGCCGCCACGCCTTGCCGTCCCAGCCCCAGCCCCAGGGACCAGGTGCTCGGCAACATCCGTCGGATGCGGCCCGACGTGTTCATCCACGGCGTCGTCAGTGGCGGCTACGCCACCACCTACTTCCCGACGCGGTTCAGGGAGGCGCTGTTCTACTACTCGGCGCAGTTCGACCTGCTGGACGCCACCGTCCCGCGGGACAGCCCGGAGAGGCTGCTGCTGGAGAGGGACATCTTCGGCCGCGCCGCCATGAACGTCGTCGCGTGCGAGGGCGCCGACCGGGTGGAGCGCCCCGAGACGTACCGGCAGTGGCAGGCGCGGAACCAGCGGGCCGGGCTCAGGCAGCTCCCGCTGGAGCCTGCCGTCGTGAAGGTGGTGATGGACAAGGTGAAGGACAACTACCACAGGGACTTCGTCGTCGACGAGGATCAGGGGTGGCTGCTGCACAGGTGGAAGGGCCGTGTTCTCTATGGCCTGTCCTCATGGGTTGCATGCTGAATGCTGATCAGTAAAGTTTATGGGTTTCTCAGGCTCAGTTGTTGCTTCCGTGCTTTTAAAATTTGTGGCATCAATTGTTCGGCACGTGCATTATTGTATTTGTAGATAGAGTAAACTTATGCGTGATTAAGATGAAATAAACTTCTCCAGCCAGTCCGGGATGAAAAAAGGCAACATTCGTTCTTCCAATTTGTATTTTAAATGTAGCACAGTACTCATTTATATATGCGACCTTTTGTATCATAGGTGCCGTTCGCTTGTCTGAAAAAAGAAGCCAAAACACTGTAGCGGATGGTTGTGTGAGAGAGAAATACTGTAGCTGCTGGTTGATGAATAGTGTCGCTGTGAGGAATCAGCCGGCTGGTCTGGAAACCAGACCAGCGAACGGCACCAAAGTTTCTCATTGGGCCGGCATGTTTGCATCTAGGTAGTCCCTGTCACATCAGACGTGGGATGCTAATTATGAGGACTAAACCTGAGCTAGCTAACTATAAAACTAATTGCACAGATGGAGACTAATTTATAAGACGAATCTATTAAGCTAATTAATCCATCATTAGCATATGTTTATGGTAGAACCACGTTGTAAAATCGTGAAGTAGTTAGGCTTAATAGATTCGTCTCGCAAATTAGTCTCCATCTGTACATTTGATTTTGTAATTAGTCTATATTTAATACTCTAAATTAGCGTCCAAACATCCGATGTGATAGGGTCTAAAAATTAGTCCATGTATCGAACACCGACGCTAGACAGGCAGAAAGGTTTGGAACTTAGCGATTTTGCAGGAATCAATTTATTTTTATTTCCCATGCTCTAAATTAAAGGGGACCTAAATGTTTCTATTTTCATTTAGTTCTTGCATTCAGGTATGTGGGTGCAATTAAATTATTTTTCACAGCTTGAAGATGGAAGATCTCCTGGAAATTTTCAACAACCTCAGACTTGCTCATGATATGATGATGATGATTTCTCAAAGTTATGTGCACTGTGTACTGGCAACTAAAGTTTGCAATGGTCCCAAAGTAACTTAAGAAATGTTTCTCTCCTCTTAATGAAAAAAAGGAAGTATTTCCTGCGATTATGTGATGATACTCTCTCTGTTTCAAATTATAAATCGTTTTGGCTTTTTTGTTCATCCATTTTGCTATGTATCTAGACATATATTATTATATATATATAGATGCATAGTAAAATGCATGTACCGAAAAAGTCAAAGTGAAAGAGTACGTGTCAAGGAAGAAGTTGGGCCTCTTGGCACAGGCAACACACCACAATGAGATGGGAGAGGAACACAAGCAGAAACAAAACTCCAAAGATTTGAATCAGGTAATATTAATTTTCTAATAATGACACTAATTGGACATCTTTTCGAATTAAAATGAGACATTATTTTAGTGTAAACATAGTCACTAACTTAAATTGATGAGGAATTAGCTAATTACATTGACTAGAGCCGGTAGGTGTCACCTATGCCTCAAGAGATGTAGTAGGGTCGATTTTAGAGTTAGGACTTTCTCTTGATCTAGATGTAGATACAGATGTGCGGCCTCCTGGGATATGGAGCCGAGCTTTCAACCCCTTGTAACGTCCAATAGACCGGTAATATTGGTTTACGTGTCAAGGGAATAAGCCCAATCTCATAATCATCTTTGGTCTTATTTATATACAATGTGTGAGGCCAAGGCCGTCTCTAGATAACCCTTATGGTTACCATCGATCATGGTAAATGATGTAACAATTTAACACTGATAGGTAGAGCTAAACTTAACTCGTTGTGCCAACTGTTGATCTCTCGGTTAGACGATATCACATCCCCCACATCCAACCTATTTAAGGCGGTATTTGGATCCAGCTACTAAAATTTAGGAGGTGTGTCGGAAGGATGTTGTATGGGGTATTCGGATACTAATAAAAAAACAAATTACATAATCTGTCAGTACGGCACGAGACGAATTTTCTAAGCCTAATTAATCCGTCATTAGCATATGTTTACTGTAGCAATGTTGTCAAATCATAGACTAATTAGGCTTAAAAGATTCGTCTCGTAAATTAGTCGCAAACTATGCAATTAGTTTCGTAATTAGCCTATATTTAATACTCCATGTATGTGTCAAACATTCTATGGGACAGCGACTAAAATTTAGGAGGGGCAACCAAACAACCCCTAAGCGTGGTAATTAAATCGAAAGGGAACTAACTAATAAATTATCTTGTCACATGGCCAATGCTCTGCAAAAAAAAAATCTCATGATTTTAGCATGAACATCTTAATTAATTGCTTAGCTTTTTTCCTTCAAATTAATTGCTTAGTTTTTTTTCCTTGTCTGCATCACGCTCACGCGATCATGCATTTATCATCAATACAAAATTTCAGAAACAGTATCTTGCTACGGAAGCAGATCAAAGGGGACAGACAATTGCCTCAAACAAAAACAAAAAAAGAAGAAGAAGGGAGGGACAAACAAAAGGGTACAAGAAGATGATGACCTTGTGAAGATGCTGTTGCTGCATTACGAAACGAACAACAAAGTTTCGTTCAGAAACCAACAGAAATGGAACAAGAAGATCAGTAGCCTACATAACCGCAACAAGACACCAACAGAAATGCAGGCCCTCCTCTTGTTATCTATTTCCAGTCAATTGACTGATGAAGAAAACATCTTTTTTTTTGGCTTTAACTTGTTGCTTGAGTTGGGTTGGAATCATCGATTCGAGCTTCACAAGGAGGTGATGAGGTCACTCCTTCCAAGTCCACACACCTGCTCTGCTTCTTTTTAAAGAAGAATCCGCGAGCCATACCGCCCGCCATTGCAGTAAAGCTTGTAGGCAGGCAGCGCATGCGCATGACAGCACCCCGTGTCTTCCCAGGCTTCACGCATTTCTCTTCTCATGGAGGAGGAAGAGGAGGAGGACGACCTCGCCGACCACCCCGCGCTCCTCCACGCCCAGCAGCCCTTCGCCCAGATCCTCTCCGGCGCCCCCTTCTTGCCGGACCAAGGCCCCGTCTTTCCAGGCGGCTCGCCCGAGGACAAGGAGTACGGAACAGACATGTTCACAGCTGCATTCTTCAAGGGCGTGGAGGAGGCCAGCAAGTTCCTGCCCGCCTACACCGCTGCGACGCTGGTGAGCAAGGACACGAGCGGCGGCAAGGACTGTTAGCATACATAAGCCATGTAGCTGCATACTGTAAATAGGCATTGCACTGCACGTTTTTTTTTTGCTTCAGTTGCATGCGCGAGCGCCGAGTTGTGGTGGCCGCGCAAATAGGAGGTAGTGGACAGCGAGATTAACTCGCGCACAACCTGGGCGCCGAGCGGTGCACGCACGCCGCGGACGTGGGGATGGACGCGTCGTGCGCGCGTCGTGCGGGCATCGCCAGAGCTCTGCATGTTCGTTAAATAAAAGGAGAAGAAAACCACGAAAAGCTGCGGTTCATTGAGCAGCACAAAATTCTCTGCGTTCACTGTCTCCATGAGTTCGTGTGTGTGAGTTCTTGCAGTTTTCTCTGTGTCCCGGCGAGAGCCTTTGTTCCCGACGCCGTACATCGTCGCCCAGGGCCTAACAAGTGGCATCGGAGCTAGGTGAGCGGGAATCGCGACTGCCATGGCTTCACCACCACCGCGACCCCGAGGCCGTACCCCGCCGGACGCTAAGAAGAAGCAGGTTGACGGCTCCAGCGGCTCCGGCAACAAGACGCCGCCGCGCTCGCCGTCACCACGTCGCTCTCCACCGCGCCGTTCGCGCGACGCACGTCGTTCGCGCACCCGGGACGCACGTCGTCCCCGGGAAGTCATCGTCGAGCGCGTCATCCACGAGGGTGGCGGTTCAGGCAACTGGCCACAGCTGACGCGAACCAACTACAACGAGTGGGCGCTGCGCATGAGGCTGAAGATGCAGGCGCGTCACATCTGGGACGCCGTCGAGTTCGACGACGTAGAGTACGACGACGACCGGCGCGCGCTGGACGCGATCTGCAGCGCCGTCCCGGAGGAGATGGTGCCGGCGCTCGCCACCAAGAACACCGCCAAGGAGGCGTGGGAGGCCATCCGCACGTTCCGCATCGGCGACGACCACGTGCGGAAGGCGACGGCGCAAAATCTGCGTGCTGAGTACGAAAACATCAAGCTGAGGGACGGCGAGGCGATTGAGGATTTTCGCGCTCCGCCTCACCGGCGTGGTTCAGCGGCTGGGGTCCCTGGAGATCCCGAGAGCGGAGCCTAAAGTCGCCGCCAAGTATCTACGGGTCGTTCGTCCCAGGTACAAGCAGCTCGTTGTTTCAATCGAGACTCTGCTGGATATATCGCAGATTGTCGATCGAGGAGGTTACCGGAAGATTGAAGGCGGCCGACGACGCGTCGTTGATCCGGCTCCTCCACAAGTCGCCGGTGGCAAGCTACTCCTCACGGAGGAGCAAGTGGTCGGAGAGATACAAGAAGAAGAAGGAGTCGCCACGCGGAGGTTCAAGTTCCGGCGACGAGACGAGGCAGAACATGCAAGCCACGCGGACGCAGGAACGGTGGCGAAGCGCGCGGCGCGTCCAGTGGCAGCGCCAACGGAGCGAACAGCAACAACAAGTCGCGAGCCGGGCCAGATGACATTTGCAAGCGTTGTGGCAGGATGGGACATTGGGCCCCGGACTGTCGCACGAAGCTGAAGACAGAAGCTGAGGCCCACGTGACCCAGGATGATGAGCCCACTCTCATGTTTGCCTACGGGCTACTTGAGGGCGAGTCAGACGAGTCGTTCCCCCTCGCGCCGCCACCAAGCCTCACCGTCGCCGGTAAATCCGTCCCTGCCGCGGCACCGCCGCTCAAGCTTCTGGAAGCCAAGGTCTTCGTCGCAGCCAGCTCGGAGGAGGACCGGGACCCGAAGCGCTGGGTCCTGGATACCGGCGCCACCAACCATATGACCGGCGTCCGCTCGGCATTCTCCGATCTCGACACTGGCGTGGTAGGCTCTGTCCGTTTTGGCGACGGGTCGGTCGCCAAGATCGAAGGCCGAGGCACCATCCTCTTTGCGTGCAAGAACGGGGAGCACCGCACGCTCGCCAACGTCTACTACATCCCCTGTCTGACTGCCAACATTATCAGTGTTGGGCAGCTTGATGAGATTGGTTTTCAGGTGCTTGTCGAAGGCGGGGTCTTGAGGATTCGAGATGAGGATCGCCGCCTACTTGCTAAGGTCCACCGCAGCCCAAGCCGGTTGTACATCCTCGACACCGAGATCGCGCGACCTGTGTGCCTGGCAGCGCACGCGGCGGAGGACCCCTGGCTCTGGCACGCCCGCTATGGGCATGTCAATTTCGGCGCGCTCAGAAAGATGGGGCGTGACAAGCTCGTGCGCGGGATGCCGCTGCTGGACCACGTCGACCAGCTCTGCGACGCGTGCCTCGCTGGCAAGCACCGGCGGACGCCGTTCCCGCAGCGCGCTCTGGCGCGTTCCACGGAGGCGCTCCAGCTCCTCCATGGGGACCTCTGCGGGCCCATCTCTCCACCAACTCCGAGCGGCAACCGCTACTTCTTGCTGCTCGTCGACGACTACACACGGTACATGTGGATAGCCCTGCTGCCTTCCAAGGACGAGGCGGCCGCGGCGATCAAGCGCGTTCAAGCCGCGGCAGAGCGCAAGACTGGGAAGCGCGTTCAAGCCCTCCGGACGGACCGTGGTGGCGAGTTCCTGTCTGCGGCGTTCGAACAGTATTGCACCGACATCGGCCTCCGGCGTGAACTCACGGCGCCCCACTCTCCTCAGCAGAACGGAGTGGTGGAACGCCGAAACCAGTCGGTGGTCGGCACCGCCCGCTGCATGTTGAAGGCCAAGCAGCTCCCTGGAGTCTTCTGGGGCGAGGCGGTGTCAACGGCGGTCTACCTTCTCAACAGATCGTCGTCCAAAAGCATTGGTGGAAAGACTCCTTACCAGCTGTGGACGGGCAGTGCGCCGGGTGTTCAGCACCTGCGCACGTTCGGATGCATCGCCCACATGAAGCTCACGGCGCCGAACCCCAAGAAGCTCGATGACCGGAGTCGGCGCACCATCTTCGTCGGGTACGATCCTGGCTCCAAGGCTTACCGTCTCTACGATCCAGTGTCACGGCGAGTCCATATCAGCCGCGACGTCGTGTTCGACGAGGGCGCACGCTGGAGCTGGACAGATGAGATCCCAGCGGCGACTGATGACTTCGTCATCGAGGAGGGTGACACCGAGCTGCCTCAGGTAGTCACGGTGTCAACGACGAACACGCCTTCTGCCCCAACACCTGCAAGCACCTCCACGTCGAGCTCTGCGCCGTACCACGACGTCGCGCCTTCGACCCCGCACACGCCAGCACAAGCTGCTGGGCAGGCAGTGGAGTTCGCCACTCCACCAGGCAGCGGGGACATCCACCTCGACGCTGATGCAGATGACGCCCCTCTCCGCTTTCGCAGGGTTGAGAACATCCTCGGGTCAGCCCCTACACCTGGACTGGCACACCGGGACTTGGAGGAGCAGCTCTTGCTGGCTAGTGATGCCGAGCCAAGCTCTTTCGATGAGGCGCAACAACACGAGTGCTGGCGCAACGCGATGCTCGACGAAATGACGGCGATCGAAGCCAACGGGACGTGGGAGCTCGTCGACTCTCCACCTCGCTCCAGACCCATTGGACTGAAGTGGGTGTTCAAGGCCAAGAAGGACGCAGCCGGGCTCATCTCCAAGTACAAGGCCCGGCTGGTCGCGAAGGGCTACGTGCAGCGCGCGGGCGTGGACTTTGACGAGGTGTTCGCGCCAGTGGCGCGCCTGGAGAGTGTCCGTCTTCTTCTCGCCCACGCCGCCAACGAGGGATGGAGCGTCCACCACATGGACGTGAAATCTGCGTTCCTCAACGGCGAGCTGCAGGAGGAGGTTTTCGTCGAGCAGCCACCGGGCTTCATCCTAAAGGGCCATGAGCGCAAGGTCCTGCGCTTGGTGAAGGCCCTGTACGGTCTGCGGCAAGCTCCTCGCGCCTGGTATGCAAAACTGGACAGCTCTCTGCTTGGTCTTGGTTTTCAGCGCAGCAGCTCAGAGCATGCCGTGTACTTGCGCGGCGAGGGCGTTCATCGCCTCGTCGTGGGGGTGTATGTCGACGACCTGGTGATCACGGGCGGCGACACCGGCGACATCGACAAGTTCAAGTCGCAGATGAAGGGAACGTTCCAGATGAGTGATTTGGGACTGCTGCATTACTATCTCGGTCTCGAGGTGTCCCAAACGCCGCAAGGCATCACCTTGGGGCAGAGCACGTACGCAGCCAAGATCCTGCAGAACGCAGGGCTGACGGGCTGTAACACCAGTCTGATCCCCATGGAGCCGCGCCTGAAGCTGAGCAAGAAGAGCACGGCGCCCGCTGTCGATCAAACGGCGTACAGAAGTATCGTGGGCTCACTGCGGTATTTGGTTAATACTAGGCCAGACCTAGCCTACTCGGTTGGCTATGTGAGCAGGTTTATGGAGGAGCCGACGACCGAGCACCTTGCAGCTGTGAAGAGAATCCTGCGCTATGTCGCTGGGACACTTGACTACGGCTGCCGATACACCAGGAAGAAGCAGAAAGAGGCTGAGCTGATCGGGTTCAGCGATAGTGATCTTGCCGGCGACCTGGACACCAGGAAGAGTACCACCGGCGTCATCTTCTTCCTCGGCGACAACATCATCACTTGGCAAAGCCAGAAGCAGAAGGTCGTCGCTCTGTCTTCATGCGAGGCAGAGTACATAGCAGGGACTACTGCGGCTTGCCAAGGAGTGTGGCTGGCGCGTCTGCTCGGCGAGCTGAAGGGCAAGCAAGAGGGAGCGTCCACGATCTTCATCGACAATCAGTCAGCCATCGCGCTCAGTAAGAACCCCGTTTTCCACGACCGCAGTAAACACATTGATGTGAGGTTCCACTTCATCCGAGAGTGTGTCGAGGAGGGCAGGGTGAGCGTTGCTCCTGTTGGCACCGCTGAGCAGCTGGCGGACATCATGACCAAGGCTTTGTCTCGGGAGCGCTTCTGTGAGTTGCGTGCCAGGATTGGTCTTGTGAAGATTAAGTAGGATACATGGCTTAGGAGGAGATTTGTTAGCATACATAAGCCATGTAGCTGCATACTGTAAATAGGCATTGCACTGCACGTTTTTTTTTTGCTTCAGTTGCATGCGCGAGCGCCGAGTTGTGGTGGCCGCGCAAATAGGAGGTAGTGGACAGCGAGATTAACTCGCGCACAACCTGGGCGCCGAGCGGTGCACGCACGCCGCGGACGTGGGGATGGACGCGTCGTGCGCGCGTCGTGCGGGCATCGCCAGAGCTCTGCATGTTCGTTAAATAAAAGGAGAAGAAAACCACGAAAAGCTGCGGTTCATTGAGCAGCACAAAATTCTCTGCGTTCACTGTCTCCATGAGTTCGTGTGTGTGAGTTCTTGCAGTTTTCTCTGTGTCCCGGCGAGAGCCTTTGTTCCCGACGCCGTACATCGTCGCCCAGGGCCTAACAAGGACAGCAGGGACAGGCACACCGTCGGCGGCGGCGACGAGCTGGAGGCCGATGCCGGCAGGACCAGCAAGCTGGCGATGGCCGAGTCAGAGGAAGCCGGCGCCCGCGAGGTGTTAGAAGAAATGATGCTTAGGGGATTCGATGCCTGTTCCAAGGAGATGGAGGGACTGACCATTTCCGTTGACAATGTGCCCGCCAAGGACGATGACAAGAAGAAGGCGAGGAAGACGAGCAGGGCACGGGGCAAGCGCCGGCCGGCCAGGGTAGTTGACGTGCACACCTTGCTCATCCACTGCGCCAAGGCGGTTATCGACGACCGCCGGAGCGCAAACGAGCTGCTCAGTCAGATCAAGGAGCACGCCTCGCCTACTGGGGACGCCACGCAGCGGCTTGCCTACTGTTTCACGCAGGGGCTGGAGGCGCGCCTGGCTGGCACTGGGAGCCAGGTGTACAGGTCGCTCACCGCGAACCGGACCTCGCTCGTGGAGTTCCTCAAGGCCTATCAGCTCTTCATGTCAACCTGCTGCTTCAGGAAGGTGGCCTTCATGTTTGCCAACAAGACCATCTTCGATGCTTCAGCAGGCAGGAGCAAGCTGCACATCGTGGATTATGGCCTCCATTCTGGCTTCCATTGGCCGGAGCTGCTGCGCTTGTTGGGGACTAGGGACGGTGGGCCACCGAAGGTCAGGATCACCAGCATTGACCTCCCACAGCCTGGATTCCGCCCAGCAAACCACATGGCAGAGATGGGTCGTCGCCTTACCAACTGTGCCCGCGAACTCTCTGTGCCACTGAGTTTCCATTCTGTGGTGGCGCCATGGCACACCATTTGCATCGATCATCTGAATGTGGGACCTGACGAGGTCCTCGTCGTCAACGATCTGTTCAATTTCAGGACCCTGATGGACGAGAGCATCATATCAAACAGCCCCAGCCCTAGGGATGTTGTCCTCAGCAACATCAGAAAGATGAAGCCTGATATCTTCATCCAAGCCGTCGTCAATGGTTTTTACGGCACCACCTTCTTGTCACGGTTTCGGGAAGCCCTCTTTTACCACTCTGCACTGTTTGACATGCTCGATGCGACCATGCCCCAGGAGAGCCAACTGCGCTTGGTGCTTGAGCGGGATATCTTTGGCTGGGTTGCCTTGAATGCCATAGCATGTGAGGGAGAGCACCGTGTGGAACGTGGTGAAACATATAAGCAGTGGCAGGTCAGAAACCAGCGGGCTGGCCTAAGGCAACTGCCCTTGAATGGAGAGACTGTTAAGATGGTGAGGGACATGGTCAAGAACCAATACCACAAGGATTTTGTCATTGAGGAGGGTCAGCAATGGTTGTTGCAGGAGTGGAAGGGCCGCATCCTCTTTGCCCACTCAATGTGGGCGGCAGATGGTGCTAGCTCCGATTATTAGTTTTACACAATGAAACAATACAGATATATTGATATTAATGCCAGATACAATTATGGCTAGTGTTATGATGTGGTGATGTATATATATGATCCAGTGGATTTGACTTGGTGACATGTTTCTGTATGACTTCAGGTAGGCAGCAACTGCATTTACTCTCATTGTGACATCTTTCCTGTGGTCTGATTCATTCGAACATGCAGGTGAGGAAGAAATTGGTGAGGCCACTGAGGTCAAAGACTAGTGAAAAATAAATGAACAGAAGACTAGTGAAAAATACATGAGGCCACTAAGGCCTGATTTATACTTACATTGGACACATGATGACAATGTTATTGTAACTATCAGCTCAGGCCAAGGAAGTTAGTACAATAATCACTAGGCTTGTTGCTACTGAATGTCGTTGCCTGATAAGTATCTGCTTAAATGACATGCTTTGTTAAACAATTTTTTGTGGGTCAATCAGGTTCCAGGTACATGTTTGTGGATGATGGGCTAATGTTTCATTTGTAGAGTTAGATCTGCTTGCACTTATCTGCCTCTAGAGTAATTTTTTCTCTCGAAAAAGCCTCTAGAGTAATTATCTGCCATGTAAAGTAGCGAATTTGCTTTGCATATCTTTCATTCTTGTACCTATGCTGATGGTTTTTTTTTTGGCCCATGAGTCCTGAAACTATTCTGATTCTGAATAAAGTAGATCCCAGTTAAACCTTTGTCCATTTGGGTGATGCTTATTACTTGCATCTATTTATTCCTCCATGTTTCAGGTCATAGATTTATAGTGTGGAGTATTATGCCTGTCTACATGCATATAAAGGAAATCAGCCTGAATAAGGTGCACTCATATAGATTGTACTCTATACTGTTTGCAAAATAATCCACATGGCCCGACCACAGAACTGCAATCTTATGTTTGAGAGCTGGAGCCATAATTTTTAAATTTTCTTGTACTTCAAGTTATTATATTAAAATTTTCAGAGAAATATTTCTTAGGACATTACATATCATTCACAACAATCTTCATGTTACTCCCTCTGTTCAAAATGTAAGTAATTTTAGTTTTGTCCTAAGTCAAAGTTCTCTAACTATCCTTGGACAGGGTTACTACAAGTTCAATTCAGCACAAAAGCCTTGTTTGACATGAGCATGGCGACCATCCATTGGGGATGGCTCTGATAAAAAATTCTTGTCTGATTGGTGGCTGCATGGATAAATAATTTCAGAAGTGGCTCCTAATCTCATTGGCCTTATCTAATGGCGAGCATCAATCAAAGAACTGTTTGTGAAGCTCTTGTCTGCCGAAAATGGGTGGAAGATATCAAAGGATCTCTCTCTGTGGTCGTGATTGTTGAATATCTTCATTTATGGGATCTGTTAGAAGATTGGACCTGCAGCATGGAGTGCAAGATCAATATATTTGGAAGCTATCTGTTTTGGGATCCTACACCTACAAATCAGCATATAGGGCCTGTTTCCTTTGAACTCAGGCAGCTAATATCTTTATACTAAGTACGTTATGTATTAAGTATTGTCTCTTGATATTACCTTCATTTGTAGCTATATGTGAGATTGGACTTTCTGAGCTCACATATCACTACCGGAAACGCTTAATTTGCCGAGTGTCCCCAGATTTGCCGTGGGCACGATTTCGGGCACTCGGCAAACAACATGTTTGCCGAGTGTCCCGAAGACGACACTCGGCAAAAACAAAACTCACGGCATAATTGTTTACGCCGAGTGCCTGCACTCGGCAAACAATAGACACACGGCAACTTTATGCCCAGGTAACACCATCGACCTCCGTTAGTATTTTGCCGAGTGTTACATGTTAACACACGGCAAACCCACCTATATGCCGAGTGTCACCTTGCGACACTCGGCAAACCATGCTATATGCCGAGTGTCACCATCTGACACTCGGCAAACCATGCTATATGCCGAGTGTCACCATCTGACACTCGGCAAACCATTTTTTTTTTGCCACCCAAACTTTTTGTACTGTTGTATTACAATACATGTTGCTCTGTGTTGAAGTTTTGTACATTTCTGAGTGATTTTACTATATTTCGTCAATTTATTTTAGTTAAATGAATTTTCGGTAATTTTTTGGATTTGAACTGCAAGTGCTTCGAATATCCGAAAAAGTGAATAAAAAATGATATTCTTGTCACTGAGTCTGATGTGAGACCGTATCCAGGGCCAGACGAGAAATTTTGAACATCGTGTTCGCGAAACATGACCACAAACATGTGGCGGAAACGTCTGAAAATTATATAAAAAGCAAACGAAGTCTGAAAATCATTAAATTCATCGAGTTGTCACGATATCATTCGTAGAGGCTATGGTAAAAAATTGAGAATGTTTCGGCACAGTTAACACGTACGCTACTTACAAATCGGAGCATCTCCAGAGAAGTTTCTGAGATTTGAGAAGTATCCTGTAAGATTTGGAGACAATTTGAATTTTGATTTGGAGTTTCACTTCAATTTTTTTTCTATATGGATTAGAGAACAAAGATCGTTTCCTGTAAAATTTTGGCAATTTTTCGGATCCGTTTGACAATTTTTAATTTTTTTACCGCAATTATTGAATTTTATTTACGATAAATTGGATTTGAACAACAATTACAAGAAATGTTGCCCAATAATTTATAAAAGCATCGAACATAAATTTCTAAGTGAATTTAACAAGGATTTTTGGAACTTCATCCGGGAAAAATTGAGTTTTGGAACTAAACAAAGTAAGAAAGCACATGAAATAACGAGTACCTTTGCCGAGTGCCAGAAGGTGGGGCACTCGGCAAAGGTTTAAAAAATGTTTTTTTTAAAAGCTGTAAGTACGAAAGGTTTGCAGCAAAAAAAAGAAAAAAGAAAAATGTTGCAGAGTGCCCCATCGGGCCGCCACTCGGCAAACAGGGCCCAAGAGCGCAAATAGGCCTGGCCGCGCCTCCCTCCTCCCTCCTCTCCCCATTCAATTATCTCCTCCTCCTCCTCCTCCCCCGGTGCCGCGCCTCCAGCCGCGCCTCCCCCGCCCACCGTAGCAGCTCCCGCCGCCGTGCCCACTCCGCCCGTCCCCGCCCCTACCCGGGTGCTCGTCGGAGAAGGCCGCCGGAGACGTCTGCTCCCCTCGCGCCGCCGTCGTCACACCCTCCCCACTCCGCGGCCCCCTCCCTCCCCACCCCGCCCGCCTCCGCCGTCGACCTCCCCCCCCGCCCGGCCGATCTGCCACAACCACCGGCTGGCCCACGCCCCCCCATGCCCTTGAAACCGGCCTTGGCCTTGGCAGCACGCCCACGAAACCACCCTAGGGTTGTGGAGAGAATCGGCGGAGACTTCGCCGTCGCCGTAGGAGCCCACCGCAGGATCCCACCGCTTCCCCCTTTCTCCGGTAAGCCCCATTGTATCTATCGCTTCCCCCATCCAATGTTACCCATGTTTCTCGCCCTGGCCCCCTGGATTGGTGTATCCCCTTCGTTCATATATTATCTATCGCTTGCTAGGTTGTCAGGATCCCAAAGTTGGGAAGGAAATAGCTAGACTTCTTCATGTTGCCTTGCCTTGCTGCTGCTATTTGTCTTCGTTTGTTGCGTGATAGATTCAGTTATAGGCTCCTTCAGGCTTATGACTTACAACTGTGTATCAGTATTCTGCAATAGATCTGAATTTTACCTGTTTTTCAATTCTATGGACCATTGGTTGCTCGATCTTTTCTTCAGTAAATAATGTTTGTATCTGTACTCTGGCTGTTTATAAAAAATATTAGTGATAGCAACCCTGACTGTTTATATGTAGTAGCATCCCTGACTACTTATTTACATGTTAATAGAGCAAAGGATGTCACGCTAATCTTGTGCGTTGCTGCTCAGATTTTTAGTAGGAGCTTTTTTAGAATATTTATTCAGAGTTGTGTTGGGTTTCAAAGTCAGGGATATCTCATTTTTCTTGAAAGACATACCACACTGCCATTTATTTACTGCCACCTAATTCCTTTTCAACATAAAGATATATAGCTCAGGACCGATACTTTTGAGGAATTTTTCAAAAGGTCAAAGCAATTTGCTAGTAGCAATCTTCCTAGAATTGAAATTTGTGTTCTTGAGAAAATAATTAGCTACTATAAAGCATGATGAATGCCCTTGTAACTGCGGCGTACTCTTGCCCCGGATTGAATCTGTCTAGATGGCATTACAAATTTTGAGCTGAAAGCTACGACCTGGATTTTGGTGTATGAAAGTGTCATGATTCTTTTGGCTTAACTGGGGAGGCCCTTTTCATGACCGCATCATGATCTGATGATGGCTGGTAATAATGTTTTTTTATTTATTTAAAAAAGGAGTCCCTGAGCCTGGATTTGTGTCGGCACGTGCAACCTGCCATTGTGGCAATTGAAAAATATGATGGCAACTAGATGGAACCTAAGTTTCCCTTCTTATCTTAATGAAACACGAGCTGGGTGAAGGTTCGTTTGAGAGAAAAAAAAGAGGGAACCTAAGTTCCTGAAACTGAAAGTAAGTACTCCACCCGACTGCTGCTGTCTATTGCGCGAGCTCAAGAAAGGGCCCCCCTTGTTCTCCATGCTTGCTTCCGTTTCCGTTTATCCTCTGCCCCATTTTTTTCTTCTCTTTCTTTCTTGCCCTGTTTATCTGAATGGTTTGACGCTTGTCATGGGTTTTTTTGGTGCTTTAGTTCGTCCTCTGCTCTTGCTGGCCACACCCACGACCTGCTGCCATAAGCGCGAGTCCTTCGAGTCGAGGACGGGTTGGTTACCGGCAACTGAAACCTTGCTATGCTGCTAAACTAAGACACTGCCGTAGTACTGCTGGTACGGGCGTTTATTATTGCTTTAATCCGCAGCCAATGCGTCATTACAGAGCATGCGGAAACAGAATAAACGCGCCTTTCTTACCGCTGCTCGTACACTAACGCCGCCGTTATTTAAGATTCAACCCCCACGCAAACGATACGGGTGTCAAGCGATTCAACTGACATGGTTGGTTAATGGAA